CTCCCCCATAGACTTCAATGCCATAAACATATTTCATCCAGTTTTTCTCAGTCTTACCCCCACCCCAATGCCAGCCTCATTCTACAACAGTGGCACCATACAGCATTTGTCCCTTTGTGACTGAGGTATCTCACTCAGCATAATGTCCTCCAGGGTCACCCATTTTGAATAATATTGCATGAGTTCCTTGTTTTTTCAATGCAGCATAGTATTCCATTGTGCGAACATACCACAGCTTCATAAATATTTATCAGTCAGATCTGGTTAAATAAATGATGGTGTAGCCATAAACTGGGACACCAAGTAGCTGAGATCAAGGGTGACTTTAAATCTGTAAGGGCTGATCTTATAAAAAATATCCAAGGCAAGTGAAAAAAAAATGCAAAGGAGAAAGCAAAATATATAACCTGCTACATTCCTGGGAGGAGGCGGCATACGCATGCTTGAGCATTTTTAGACAAGGTCTACAAAGCCCTCGAGAGAGAAACAGTGGAGGGCCAGTGTGGGAAGGAGCTGTACCAGGCAGGATGCCCTTTGGTCTTGTTCAGAATTTTCACTGATTACTCTTTCAACCGCTTTTAAAAGAACAGTTTTTTATGTGAAGGGGGAAAAATTAGTTTGTCTCCTAGCAAGGCTTAACGTGTTAGTTTTCAGAGGGAAACATTCATCCTGTATTTCCTTTTAAGAGTTCCTAAGGGTACAAACGGTGCACATATTCTGTCCCTAACCAAGAGGTTAGAGGTTTGAGCCTACCCAAATGTGTCTTGGGAGAAGGTCAAGGTCATCACCTTCTCAGAAATTAGGCCTTGAAATCAGTTCTATTCTGACCCCCACGGGACTGCCATTAAGTCATAGTCAACTGGACAGCAAGTGGGTTTCATTGATTTTTTTTATCAAGTATTTTATCAACTAATAGATATTGATTGCTTTAGGGATTTATTGTGATATATATAGCTATCATCTATCCATCTATCTGACATAAAAATATAAATTATGTATGAACGACTTCATGATGAAGTACACATATACTATAGTCCACTGAGAGATGGGGAGCTCTGGTGGCCTAGTGGGTAAGGAGTTGCACTGCCAATCCAAAAGCAGGCAGTTTGAATGCACCAGCGGTCTGAAGGAGAAGGATGGACAATCTCCCGTGCTATTTACAGCCTCTGAAAATCCACTGGAGGGTCAGGTATGAGTTGGTTCCAACTCAACAACATAGAACAACAGCATAAGCGAAATTTACAGATATTTCTTAAGTATTTTTTGTACCCATCCTTGGACACCCCTGAACACCCTTAGAACTGAAGTGTATTGGGAAGTGTTAATCTCCCTGTTTCACAGATTAAAAAAAAAAAGCTTAGTCAGGTGACTAATTTTCTTGAGGTCACACAGCTCTTGAGTAGAAGAGCTGGGCTTACTGCCCACCAGCTGTTCTGAGTGTAGGTCCATTATACTTTCTGAACCAGAGAGAAAAACAATTTTTTTTAAATTCGCAATTTTTAGTCATTTTTCACAAATGAGTGTAATCCATTTCACTATGGACAAAACTTATTGTCTTAAACAATACATAATCTTCTATTGAGAAGGCTGAAAAAGATTTGACAATGCTTCATTATCACCTATGGGAGTGCCTCTGAAAGGGTTAGTTTGAAACCGCAGAAGCATCAGGAGGGACAATTAGCCTTTCTCTTTGATTGTCAGTCATCACTGGTCTGGGTTAGAAGCATCTTCTGTAACAACTATGAAGGCAGTTCAATTTCCAGATCTTTGGGCTCCATTTAGATACATTTACGTCAATGTGGAGATTGTGTTAATCTCTACTCAGGAACATTCCAAGTAAAACCCATCGATTATCCCAAAACACATTTTTAAACTATACAAACTAAGAAGTAGGGGTCTCATTTCTGTCCCCTAATCAGTCTTCAGAAAAGAAAGCCAAATTGGTTAACAGTTTGATTCATGTCCCCTGTAACTTTTCTTTCTGTTTCTATAGACATATTGAGACATGATTAACATTCTGACAAACTTGGGTTATTATTAAGACTATATTGAGGCAAAACATGTGATATGAAAAAATGTGGCAATTAGTCA